TCGGGTAATGTGATGTCTCCAGTTATGTTCTTTTTGCTTAGTCTTGTTTTCCCTGTGTGGGCTCTTTTTTGGTTCCATATGAATTTTATGATTTTTTTTCTAGTTCTGTGAAGAATGATGGTGGTATTTTGATGCAAATTGCATTGAATTTGTAGATTGCTTTTGTCAGTATTGTCATTTTCACAATATTGATTATATCCATCCATGGGCATGGGATGTGTTTCCATTTGTTTGTGTTATCTATGATTTCTTTCAGCAGTATTTTATAGTTTTCTTTGTGGAGGTCTTTCATGTCCTTGGTTAGGTATATTCCCAAGTGTTTTATTTATTTTGCAGCTACTGTTAAAGGGGTTGAGTTATTGATTTGATTCTCAACTTGGTTGTGGTTGGTGTACAGCAAGGCTACTGATTTTTGTACTTTAGTTTTATATCCTGAAACTTTGCTGAATTAATTTAACAGTTCTAGGATCATTTTGGATGAGTCTTTAGGGTTTTCGAAGTATACAATCATATCATCAGCAAATAGTGAGAGTTTGACTTCCTCTTTCCCGATTTGGATGCCCTTTATTTCTTCTCTTGTCTTATTGATCTAGCTAGGACTTCCAGTAATATGTTGAATAGAAGTGGTAAGAGGGATCTTTACCTTATTCCAGTTCTCAGGGGGAATGCTTTCAGTGTTTCCCCATTCAGTATAATGTTGACCGTGAGTTTCTCATAGATGGCTTTTATTACCTTAAGGTATGTTCTTTGTATGCCAAATTTACTGAGGGTTTTATCATAAAAGAATGCTGGATTTTGTCAAATGCTTTTTCTGTGTCTATTAAGATAATCAGGTAATTTTTGTTTTTAATTTTATGTGAGATGTCACATTTATTGACTTACATGTGTTAAACTATCCCTGCATTCTTGGTATGAAGCCCACTTGATCATAGTGGGTTAGCTTTTTGATATGCTGTTGGATTTGGCTCCCTAGTATTTTGTTAAGGATTTTTGCATTAATATTCATCAGGGATATTGGTCTGTGACCAGGGCTGAAAACTTGCCCCAGACCATGAGCCACGCCATTGAGAAAGCAAGCTGACTCACAGTGTTTTGGCATCTCAGGGAGCCTGCAGTGGTGATTCAGTTTCTTCAAAGGGTCTGTGGATTCTCTCAGCTTTCCTGGTATGTCCAATAGTAGTTTTTGGAGCAAAAGTCTATCCACTGCTCTGTCCATCGGAGCAGGAGCTGCAAGCTAGTCCTGCCTCTAACTGTGTTTTTAACAACCGTGTTATATTCAAAAAGAATTAGAGAAGGAAAATTATATTCTGATTCTATTTTTGAATATTACAGAACTCAAGTGCTATGGTCTGAATGTTTGTGTACTCCTAAATTTATATGCTGAAATCCTAACTCCCAAGTTGATGGTATTAAGAGATAGGACCTTTAGGAAGGTGATTAGGTAATGAGAGTAGAGCCCTCATGAATGGGACTAGGATCCTTATAAAAGAAGTCAAAGAAATCGCATTTTCCCCTTCTAACGAGTGAGGATGCAGCCAGAACGTGCCATCTATGGACCAGGAAACCAGTCCTCAGTAGACACTGAATCTGCCACACCTTGATCTTGGACTTCCCAGACTCCAGAACTGTGAGAAACACATTTCTGTTGTTTATTAGCTATTCAGTTTATTTTGTTTTGCTATAACAGCAGCCCAAATTTACTAAAACATCAAGTTTGGTTTTAGTTTCCCCTCTCTTATGGTTGTTTTAAAATCTTTTCCAAATCTAACAATTATACAGTTTGCTGAAATGATTATTTTGTCTTCCTTCCTCAGTGTAGTTTGACATTTTCTGTTATAAAAATAAAAAGAACTCATAATTTTTGTATAATAGAGAAATTATATTTATTGAGGAATACATTTTATAATGTATTATTATAAATGTCCAAAAATAGCTACATAGTTTTTAAACTCTTATGGGTTGGAGCCTGGAGACAAAACAGCAATAACAACAAATAACAACAATAAACAGAAAACCACTTAACACAGACATTTCTATGCTGAAAAAGAGAAGAAGTTGCCAAGTTTGGGTTTTTTTTAAATCATGTTTGGAAACAAATTCCCACTTACAGAAAAAGTTGCAAGAATCAGATTATTTCAAAGAAAACACATGTACGCTTTACTCAGATTACTCTGTTGTTAAATTTTACTTCATTTGCTTTATCAATTGCTCTTTCTCTCTTTATGTATGTATATTAGATTACTCTATTGTTAAATTTTACCTGATTTTCTTTATTATTTTCTCTCTTTATGTATGTATGCATGTACTATCATACAAACAAATGTACACAAATATATGTTTCTGAATTTTTGAGAGAAGATTGCATACAGTATGGCCCATACCTCAAAATACTTTGTGTATTTTCCAAGAATAGGGATTTTCTTTTACTTAATCAAAGCATACTTCTTATCTGATTGACCATATATATTCCAATTTAGCAATTGAATGTATATGGTCAGTTGTTCTTTGGTGCATTTGTGTTACCTCTAATACAGGATTGAGTCTAGTATCCCTTACTATATTTAGTTGTCAGATGTTTTAGTATAATTTAACCTGAAACATTGCTATAATGTTTCGTCTTCTATGACATTGATATTTTTAAAGAATTCAGTGAAAACACCCTGTATTTTTTTCTTTCTTTCTTTTTTTTTTTGAGACGGAGTTTCACTCCTCTTACCCAGGCTGGGGTGCAATGGCGTGATCTCGGCTCACCGCAACCTCCGCCTCCTGGGTTCAGGCAATTCTCCTGCCTCAGCCTCCTGAGTAGCTGGGATTACAGGCACGCACCACCATGCCCAGCTAATTTTTTGTATTTTTTTTGGTAGAGACGGGGTTTCACCATGTTGACCAGGATGGTCTCGATCTCTTGACCTTGTGATCCACCTGCCTCGGCCTCCCAAAGTGCTGGGATTACAGGCTTGAGCCACCGCGCCCGGCCCCTGTATTTTTTTCTTAACAAAACACTCTTCATTTGGAGTTTGCCTGATATTTTCTTATGATTAGATTCAGATACGGATTTCTAGTCAGAATACTCCATAAGTGATGTTGTTTCCTTCTCAATATGTCACATTTGAAGGCACATGTTGAACATCACCCTTTATTGGCGAGGTTAATTTTGATAACCCAGTCAAGAGGTTGTCCTTTTTTTTCCATTGCATAGTCACTATTCTTTCCCCAGAAACTAACAAGCAATCTGTGAGGCGATACTTTAAGCCGAGATTAGTATCCTAATATCCTGCTTCTAATCAAAATTTCCTGCTAGCTTTAGCATTCATTGATAATTCTTGCCTGAGCCATTTTTACTGTGACGGTTGAGAAATGATGGTTTTCCAATTCCAGAACTCCTTCCACTCACATTGACCAGCTGGCCCATGACATTCTATTGTAAAGGAGAAACCTTATCATTTATCTCTCTCTCTCTCTCTCTCTCTTTCTCTCTATCTTATCTATCTATCTATCATTTACCTGTCATCTATTATATTAGTATGGATTCATGGATTTCTGTTTTTTCCCATTGGTTTATAATTTATTATTTTTTCAATTATTTTGCTCTCAAATTGGTTCAAGTTGGCCAATGGGAGCCCCTTCAAGCTGGCTCTATGTTTTGGCAATATACCTCTATTTTTTTTTTGAACATTACTTTTTGGCATAACAAGATATTTCAGGCTCATCTTTTTTCTCCCTTGCCCTTGCTTTGGAATCAGTCACTTCTCCAAGTAGCCATGATTCCTTTTAGTGGCAAATTATTTTAGACATGAAGATCTGAGTGTTAGGTATATTCATTTCTGCTGAGGTGTTTTTGTGTCTAAGTCCTTTTGGCAGATAGAACTAGAAAATATATGCATGTGTATACACACACATACACACATAAATACATGTCTATTATCAAGTGCTTTTATATGCAATTATAATACATATACACGTACATATACATGGTTTAGAAATTATGAATTTATATTACTTCTATTCCATTCCCACATGGTTCTTTCTTGCCTTCCCTCATTCCATATTTGTATGTTCCTTTTTCCACAGTGAACATCCTGACTCCCATCAACATCAGCATGTTTTCTCATTTGCTCAATCATATAATACATCTGAAATAGTTTTATTATTACTTGGGCACAATGCAATCGTCCCCATTCTTGCCTGTCAAATATTACTGCACCTATGCCTATATGACTAGTTATTTATTCAAAATAAAGGAACTCCTAAGTTTACAAAAAGTCTTGTACAAAAATGTTTGTAGCAGCTTTATTCATAGCAGCCAAAAATTAGAAATAGCATTATCTTAATAATAGAATGGAAAAACTGTGATGTAGTCATACAATGGAATAATACTTGGTAATAAAGAGAAACAAACTACAACTGCATGCAACAATATGGAGGAATCTCAAAAACATTATGCTGAATTTTTAAAAAGCAAACAAAAAAGAATACATGATGTATAATTCCCTTTATATGAAAAGGCAAAATGAATCTATGTGATAGAAACCAAATCACTACTTGCTTTCAGTAGGGGTGGAACAGAAGAGGACACTGAGAAGAAGCAGAAGGAAATGTACTAGGATTAAGAAAATGTTTTGTATCTTGATTGGGATGTAAGTTATGTGGGTGCATGCATTTGCCACAGTGACTGAACTCTACCCTTAATATATGTACATTTAACTATCTATAAAATATCCTTTAATTTTAAAAAGTTGGCTGGAGTAGCGGCTATCCCTTTTAGCGGAGACTACAACTCTTTACTTCCAAATAGCTCATTTTCCTAGCTCGCCTGATTTCTGATGCTTCTTCCCCATAACTCTCCTGACCCCTGTCAGCACTTGAGTTTGCTGATCAATGCTTTGATTTCCTTGTCCTAACATATAATATCCTTTTTATTTTCATTTCAAGTATACAAAGTACAACATAGGTTAGAATTTTATAGTTAATTAAATGACATCATCAACTGTTCGGATCTGGTCAATATATATGCTTTAATGTATTAATGACTTGCATGCACATTAAAAATCTTTAAATAACATTGAATTTTAGATTAATTCTCAGTTTAGGCCTTTGCCTATTTGATATATAAAGACAAAAGCAAAAACAAACGTTTCAGTGTATTCAGGTTTTGCCAGTGGAAGTAATTGATTTCCATTATTAAATGATCAAAAACCACTTCAGTGAGGAAATAATTTTTCAGACCTTCTCATAGATTCTGGTGCACACCACACCCTTCATTTTACATTCCTTAAAAAAGAGAGAGGTTAATTGAACATCTCAAGTTCAAACCAGAGAACTGAAAATTTGTAATAAAAATAGAAATTCAAAATAAACTCATAAGATTAATTTAGAAATAATAAAATATCAGTATGTCAGTCTCCAGTAATTTAGAATTATTAATATTCAGAATTAATTCAGAATTGAAATAGAAGAAACAATTTAAAAGTTGATCTGTTACTGTAAAGGAATTTTTGTAAGTGGCGAGTTTTTATGTATAATTCACCTGCATTTAAATCTACTAAGACAGTGCTTTTCAAAACTGTCTACATATTTGTGTTACTTGCGGAGCATTTAAACACAGTGATGGCTCCTCCTCCCCCAAGAAGTTTACATTCAATTATCTGTTTGGTGGCCCCATATTAGTATTTACTCCCCATGTAAACCTGTTGTGTAGCAAGGGCGAATAACTACCATACTAAAGAAACATTTGAAAGTACATGAATCTATTTATATTCAATGTATGTGTTAATTAGTGAACATAAAGCCTTAACCCTAAAAAAAAATCATCAAAGGTCATCCCATGCAACCTTTGTCATTATTCTCATCTGCCAACAGAAGTCTCCAATTAGCTCAGCTTGCTTTATTGACATGGTTTATTCTAAGTTTCTATGGCCTCTGAATGCAAAATGGTTGGATATCTGCACATAGTCTACAAAGGAGCCTTGCAGACTATATTTTGCTTTTAAAATTTAGACTCATTTTCTTCTAAGTCCAAACTAGTAAGATTTACCTAAACTTTCTTTAATTTTACTACCATTTTTAGGTATTTGTATTTCTAAAATAACAAATGGGCTTTTTTATTTCAAAATCGTAGGTCAATACTTGAAGAGGAGCCTGTAATAGTTTAAATATCACTTAAACATTAACTCTTACTTTATTCTTAGTCATTTTTATTCATCTGTATTCCATAGAACAAAGAGTACTTTGAAAATAATATAATCAAGTTGTTTATATAGCATTTTTTCTGTATTTAGAAGTGAAAATACTCTTACCACTACCATTTTCCCATTCACCAGCTTTCTCTTTATGGTTGTCTCTTTGCCATCCCACCTCTGCACTTGATTCAGTGATCCTCTCTCCAGGGTTATGGTGCTCTGCAAAGAAAAGGTCATGCAATTGACTTGCCTGAGATTTGTTGATCAAAGAAGCAGTTCATTCAGTACTGAATCATTTTCATAATAGATGTCTCAGGAGGTACACTCCTTTTCATCAGAATAGAGTCTACCATTTTAAACACTAGCAGGCATATTCCTCTTTCTCAAGCAGCCCACTGGGCCAACTTTGAAGAGAAACATTAAAGATTACCTTGGCCTTTCTATTATCAGCTGTGGTTTCTTCAAATTCCTGGCCTAGCTTGAAGGAGACCTCTGTATTTTTAAAGGTACTTTCAGTTCGTATAGTTATAATATCTCCTTTCTTGCTGATGATCACACTGGGTTTGGCCAAATTTCCCAGTTTTCTGGTGGCTAACCCCACACCTGAAAATTAAGATAGTGTTAGAATTATGTTGCCCAAGACAGCATACCCGAAGAGACTGTGGTGGCCACATCCTATGCTGGGTGGTGCCCCGGGTGTGTTGATGGCAGGTAGAATCACTTATTACTAGGGATCTCCTCCCATGTTTCACTCCCAATGGAAATACATGCCCAGAACCCAAATATTTTAGATTTTGTTGTTACAGAAGTAATGTCTGCAGATTTTCAAGAGTAAAAGTTTCCAGCTGAAATAATGCATGTCATCCATTTTTATTATAACCAATCCTACTCCCCATTGAAAATTACTAATTATAGATTTGCATAAATTGTTATAGAGATTTTAGTTTGTACATTCAAATGCTATAGATATTTTAAAAAATGCAACTATAGCATATACGTATTGTTCCATGATGTTTTCTCTCAATACTATATTATAGATGTGGAGAAGTATTCCCCTCATATTTTTGATAGACTCTCACTTCTGAAATTTTGTACCTTCTTTATCTAGCTGGTAAAAAAAAACTAACCCTCTACCTTTGGGATCTATACTACTACAAATGATCATAGAGAAATAAAATAATTTTAAAACAAAACTTCTACGTTTCAAAAATAAAATTAAACTCTTAAGTTTATTACTATTATCACCAAGATTATAAAATATATGGAAAAGGAAAAATGTCAAATAAAAAATATATGAAAGAAAAACTAGTTTCCCACGACGTCTGAATGCTTGGACATACTTTTTCCAGTTAAAAAGATCCCAAACTTTTATATACTAAATAAGAAGTTAAGTGTTATAGCCAATAAACTATACTCTATATTCTTTCTTCAAATTCTGATTAATCTTTTGTTATTTTAGGACAATGTTTTTCAAGTTAAATCATAATGTCTGGGCAGAGCCTAAGAATTTATATTTACCAAATCCCAGAATATCCTTTTGCACACTAAAATTGGAAAACAATGAAATTAGAGAATCCTTCACTGAGACTTTCTCTTATTTGGCTTCTTCCTCAGCTGTAAAGTGAAGTCTTTAAATCTAACATATCTCCCTGTATGAATTAATGCCCATAAGTTCTCATAGTGTTCCAGGCAATAATGATATTACTTTGCTCATTTTACCTAAAATAGAACATTTTATACAAGCTTTCTGAACAGCTAAGTAAAGCAGTAGACACTTTGACAAGTACAGCAACCTTAGGTCACTAGCATCACTCTTTGTTATATTTATATAGTTCTGAAGATTCCTCAAAACTCTTCATATCTATTGTGTTATATTGATGGGACATACTCTAGAAATCATATAAAATAAAGTTGTTGTAACTAATAACTAGGATTTTCATCTCCATTCCCTCCTCCAACTCCAGGAACATCTGATGTTAGTGAAATTGAGTTTGACTTCACTGCCACACCTCCAGTTCTTTTTCTCTCGGTAACTTCCCTAGGCTATGAACACAATATTTTAGGAAGTATTTTTGTTTTTCAAACTCCCTGTATCTACATGATTGTGTAATAAAGGACAACCTCAAGGTAGAGAGAAAAACCTGTTAGTTTAGCTCAAAATTAAAATTTTAAATTGAGGTTTTATAGGATCTGCAACATATTCAATTCCTTATTTTATGAACACTTTAGTTGCTATAAACCTAGCTCTCAGAAAAGCCAGAAAACAGATTGACCATGCTTTTAAGCTTTCTTTTCTTTAGGTCTGCAACCAAAATTTTGCATGTCAAAGATAGTGCATTTCTTGGTATGAAATTGCCCTTGAAATCAGTGGGAGTTCCATGCATTTAAGTCGCTCTCTCATTTAAGTTAAAGTCTATAAAAATTACCACAAATAAAATGCAAATTATCTGAATGACACAACAAAAGATTAATCCTAAAAGAGGATTGTACTGCAGGCTGTTCAAACTTCCCAGTCTCCTGTTAAAGGTGTTAGATGAAAACGTCACGTAGTTTTCTTAAAAACGGAATTTTCAGCAGAACAACAAAGAGCATTTCTTACCCAGAGCTTTCATATAATCGTCAAAGTGCTCACTAGAGACAAGTTTCCAGGTGCCCAGGAATTTGTTGCTCATTGTGATGGGTGAGAGCTCAACACAGTTCTAAGAGGAATTCGGGAGATTCAGATGAGATGCTGAGGCCTCAGAAAATTCTTTTCAAGGAAGCCCAGAGCATGTGACTCTTAGAGAGACCCAATGGGGAGAGGCAGTGTCAGGACTAAGCAATGAATGGCTTTTCAGTGACCAGCTGCCCACCCAATAGGATAAAAGGAAACCCCACAGAATACTTCCTTTTGTCTCCAAAAAATTTTTAAAATGAATGAGATTACTATTTGAAGCTTCAAAAATTTTTTGATCGATCTTACATTTATAAGAAGGCTTAGGCCCTTCATGCTTTGGAAGAGACTGCATGAATTATTGCCGTGAATGAATGTGTGTCGGTCACTCTCAGTCCTGAGTCTGCAAAATGAAGAATTCTTATTGAAAGGGAAGAAAGAGAGGAAAATATCTGTAAGTAGTATGATAACAGTCTCAAATATGTTGTGGGAGAGAAATGTAAGGGAGCAGTGTGAGGAAGTATTCATAGGTAAGAAGGCTTGGCATAGTTCACATATCCCAGCCAGGCAGAGTAGGCAGACAAAGAGGTCAGTCTATTGCAGCAGAGCACAGAAATTGTATTCATGTGATGAAACAAGAAGTAGCACTATAAGATGTTCTTTGATCACAGCAAAGATTTTCTTCTAAAAATACTTAAAGTCTGAACCAAGCAGGTTCCTGGCAACTATAACCACTTGGTATTTAAGTCATTTAAAATGAATCTACAATTTTATAAAAAGTTTTTTTATAGAAAGAGTACTAATGTATATTGAGAGCTCACTATGGGCCAGACACTTTGCTAAGTGCTTAGTACAGGTGATCTCATTTAATTATATCACTAACTCCAAGAGTTAGGAACTATTATTATGTCCATTTTACCAATGAGAAAAATGAGCTTGGGAGACATTAGATAAATTGCTTCCAAAATTTGAATAAGGGGAGGACAGGTTTGAAGCCAGCATTGCCGCCAGTGCCCGGGTTCTGAACCATGATCTTACCCTGCTTCTATTATGTATCATACATGCTACATCCACAGAGGCACTGGCCAGAGATCACCTGATGCTGATAGCACCACGATTGTCTAGCAACACTCATGCTTATTTTAAAAATCAAGAGAGGTAAAAATCAAGAGATCCAGCCTACTATATTATATCAAAGTCCCAGTCTTTGACCAAGGGGAACAAATGTAAATCCACTTAGAACGTAAGTGTTGCTGTTAAGAATCTCTAATTACTGCTATATCTTTTCCTAGCAGGTTTTTTTTAATTAACCTTAGCATTGATTCTGACTGTGAGACAACTGATATTACCAGGTTTTATACATTTAGTAAACAGGTTGGCACTATTTATAAGAACAAAAATACGATGAATTTGCTCATTACAGTTAGAATAATTGGCAACGAGAGCTGAGGAAACCCAGTCCCATAGTTCTTATGATCAGTAATTTTAGTCTTCTAAACTTCTTTCTCCCCTCTCCCTCCCTGCCTTCTCTTTCTTTTCTTTTTCATACACTCTGGAGACACAGAAAGAACAGACTTGGGAGATAACTGTCACTCATTCCTTCATTTGGTCTTTCCTTTAGTCAGTGGTAAAAGCAGTCAATTGTTTACATGTTCAGTATTCTGTAAGATGATTCCAAGATTCATTGTACATTATCTCACAAGCATAAATTCAGACAGTTATTCAATATATACTTCTTGAACTGTGATAGTGCTAGAGATAATATGATGAGTGAAATAGCAACAGTTCCTGCCCTCATGAGTCTTATACTCTAGTTAGTAAGACAGACATTAAATGAAAAATCAAGACACCTGATATCCAATTATTACTTTTTTATTGTTTGCAGATGGATACTGTGAAAATGCCATTCAGAGCCCGCTGACTATTACTACCTAGGAAGACACCTTATGAAATTTCTTAGGCACCATCATGAGACTAATGATCTGATTTATGTTCAGAAGTCAGCCTCTAGAGCAATAGGGACCTTTCCCAGACAGTTATTTGGTGTAAGGTGACAATGGCACTTCAGGGCTGATAACCCCCTCTTTCACGTTTCAAATAAGTGTTTTTCTCTAAGTTTAACAACGTCAAGATTAAAATTGCTTTCTTAATGCAAAACATTTCATGCAACTTTCTTGGCTACCAGTGGATATTTGGCCTTTTGGTTACTATGGCGACAATTACATTTATGAAGCCCCAAAGGTAGTCAATAGTTTTTCTTTTTTGTTGAATGGCAATAAAGAGAGGAAAGAAGTAGTTTGTGATTCCTCCAAACAATTCAGTTAGCAGTGTTTGTTTGTTTTCTTTTGCTAGGATCTAACACACATGGCCTCTTTTCCAAAGGCTAGTCTAAGATTTCACATCATTATTGCTAATAGAACACCTGAGGATTGGAGTTACTCATTCACTGGGGAGTAAACAAAAGACATGATTTATGCATCTGAGTTTTTTTTCTCTGGTTATGATAATATTTTAAGTCATTAAGCCCATTTTTCTATTCATTTGTATTTTCTTTTAGAGAAAAGGTAATATTAACACTTTCCAGATACAGGACATCCAAGTACATTGTACTTCAGGTATTAGCACCAAGAGCTGTAGGAGATACTATTTAGGACTCAGCCATTTGCTCCACATTGCTATGGGAGAAAGGAATCCCTTAAAAATAATTCACTTCAAAACATTGTAAAAAATGTGTGTATATGTGCCTAGCTTAATTTCATCAGGAGAAAATACAAACTCAAAAATTCAGGTGATTTTCTAATCATGTGGTATCCAGGTAGCCTACTTTGTGTTCTACTTTATTTATTTGATTGTGTCTTACAATTTTTTAAACAATTAAGATGGTATGATGGCTTGAAAATATAGTTTACATATGAACTTTTTACATATATATATTTCAAACTAAGTAAAGTTAAATCAGATAATTAAATTCATGTTTAAACAGTGTTTTTTTTTTAAAAATTCATGCCAATCCATTCCTTATTTCCTCAAGTAACTGAAAACTAGATTTTTTTAAAAATTCCAGCTTATAACAGGTTCATAACAGGAGATAAACTGTAAAAATGAAATCTCTTAAATTTCACACTTATTCAGAGCAATATTAGCTGCTGTAATACACTCCAGGATTTCAGTGGCCTATCTTGGAAGCTTATTTCTTGCTTGACATCCAGTACAGTATACGGGCTCCTGGTCTATAGGTAGCTGTTCTCCATGAGGTGACTCAGAGGCCTTGGATTCATAAATCCTCTGCCTATACCATGCTCTCAAGTTTCAAAGTCCTCTTCTCCAAGCAGGCAGGCACAGATTTCCTTGACCCAGAAGTGGCACATGTCATTTCTACTTAGTTTCTAATGCAAAATTGTCATAAGGCCCCATGGAGACAGGGGAGGGACTGGGCAATGCAGTGCCTGGCTGGCAGACTCTTTCTAGCAACAATGCTATGCTATGGAAGAGTAACCCCAGGATTCTACTGGGTAATTAACCATCTCTGTCACAGTGGCGTTCAAATTGTGGTACATTGTGTTCTGACATTATTTCTTAAGAAGACAGAATGTGATAGTGAATTTGGAAGTAAGTTCTCATTTAGCTTTATCACTTACTATAATACGTAGATTTCATTTGGGTTGAAGTTTTATTATCTATAAAATATTGATTGTTTTTAGGATGAAGAAAGATAACTTTTGGGAGATTGTTTTTTAACTTACATATTGAAAGGTATTATTTTTAATAAGCATCTACTCATATTCAAACTCTGTTTTACAAAGTAAACTAGAATCCATATTCCCTGCTCATTTTTCACAATGAGTTGCTCTAAGCTTTCTTCTGCTGAGACCCTCTTGATCTCTTTTTCTGCTTACTGTTTTAATGCACATACTCAACAATTGCATTGTTCCTACTCTTTGTATTCTAATTTCCTTATAACCTCAGAAGGGGATCTAGGAAAAATGAGAAGACCTGAGGGATTTTCTGTGTCAGTCCTTTTTAGAAGGTTTCATTTACCCTCAACACAACCCTGAGAAGTAGGTAAGTCTCCATTTTGCAAAGGAGAAAATTTAAGTGATTAGGCAGCTCATACATGGTCACGTAGCTGCCAATGGCAGAGGCAGTATTCTAGTCTGGGTCTCACTGGTCCTCCAACCTCATTCCATTTCACTGCGTGCATCTGTGGGACAACAGGTGAGTTCCATTCTATCAGTGGGGCTGGTAGTTAGATGGTCGATTCCCACCTTCCTGGAAAAGGGACACAAGGGCCTGGATACCAAACTCCAAAATGAATAGATTATATTGCTGCCCTAAATGTTCAGGATAGAAATAATAAAAGCATATGTTTTGGGACTAGATTATGTCCTGATACTTCATCCTAATGTTTCATCTACTTTTGGTTACTATCTTCGAAATAGTCCATTGTCTTTTTATAGCCAGTGAAGGAAAGCATGTCCATTGTGTTTATTGCATTTTTGTGCAAAAGGTATGAAAATTAAATACTACTAAGAATGTTTAAAACAAATTAATTTTAATTTTAATAATAAATTATAATGATTTAGAATTATAAATATATATTATATGTTAATATATTTTAATAGTAAATAACAATATAATATATAAATATGTTTATTATATTAGTATATAATACACATAATATAATTAATATAATAATGATTCTTTCTATAGTATATATTAGCATAATCATTAAATTAAATTTTTAATTAATTTAATTGATTATTTCTTTTAGTTAATTTTAATGATTATTCAGTGATTTATTAATAGTGTTGGTTAGCAAAGAAAATCTGGTGAACTATTCGTTATTCATATATTAATGATGACATCAGTATGATTGATCTTTGGATAATTAATACTTTCCCACAAACTTCAGTGTGGATTTTACATACAATGATATAAATATTCAGAATAAAATATGTTTTATATATAAAATAAATGTATAATATATAAAATAAAATATATAAAATAAATTTTATTCTGAATATTTATATGTGAGAATAAAAACTTCTCTCTCTTATTTTATTTTAAAGCTGCTTAGAAAGTGAACAAATAATGGCTTTATATTGATTAATTCACTATAATGAAAAGTCCCTCTATTATCTTTCTTCTATAATAAAACTAATACAACATAACAAATATCGTGTTATCAGTTACTTAGAAATAGGTGATAATTTTTGAAGACAAGTCAGATGTATCAAGGGACTGATTATGTGAAAGTTCTTAATAAAAATCAACGACTCTAAGTATACCTTTTAATATATTTTTAAGAGAAAATTTTCACATGATTTGATGGAAATTAAAAGGATTCGGCTGGGCGTGGTGGCTCACGCCTGTAATCCAAGCACTTTGGAGGCCAAAGCGGGTGGGTCACCTGAGGTTGGGAGTTCAAGACCAGCCTGACCAACATGGTGAAATGCCATCTTAAATAAATAAATAAATTAATTAATTAATTAATTAGTTAATTCATGTTTCAAGATGACTCTGCTACATGAAATATAAAAGGGAACTTGTGAACACCATACCTAACTCTAATGTTTTCTAGTTCCTAAGACAGCATCATATGCACAGTGATCACAGAGGAAGAACTTGTTGGAAGAATGAATGAATGATTTCCTCAGGAGTTGTATCTTTGGCTCCAACCACTAAAATACTCAACATGGGGATTTTATTTCTCATTCAGCCTCATTGTACTTTGAGCTGTGACATATATGAAAAGAGAAATGTCTTAAAAATTAGGAACAGCATTATTCTTTTCTTAATCACTCCTGTGTAAAGTCAAAGTTTAAGTGAGTAGGTGCTTAGTGCTTTTTAGTGTAATTTCTTCTAAATTACAGTTGTAGAAAACTCTCTGACCCTGCTCTGAGATGTCACTAAAGCAGTTGTCATTTCCAGCTCCCTTGTAGAGGCTGATCAAAGAGGCATTGGTCCATGTTCCCCTTAGTGCAAGACATCACTTCAGGGGCTGAACATCATCTTGGCTTCTGGGGCACATGCATGGTTACATTTTGTACACACTCAAGTCCTTAGGAAGGAGGAGGACATGTCGTGCTGGGATGACCATCATTGCCCACATCCAGCAGCTGCATAGCCAGCACCAAGCCCATCACTGCTGGCCACAGCTGAAAGCTCAGAGGTCTTCAGGGTTTAATGTGACAACCCTAGCTTCCTTCCTTGGCCAGGGATTCAGTTCATGTCCCAACCCCATGTTGTAGTTCTTTAGTTTATTACCCTTCAATATCACCTTACTAAGGTGCCAGTAACCCCTAGTTTGCCTAGAGCAGTCCCAGGTTATGCCTACTCTCCAAGTGTAATTGTTAATAGTGCCCCTTTTCATCTTTAATTTCTCATCCAGTTTGGATGACAAGTTACATGGCCATTCTACTCTAGTGACTATTACACATGACTCTGAGGACTTACATTTGACGAAATATTATCTATGTTTCAATTTGAGACACAAAACGATTATTTAGAAAATCTTCCCTCCTGCCCCCTGCCACTTTCTTTCTCCTTTTTCCACTGCTATAGGTATAAAATATTGAGTGATTTTTTTTGGCTTTGTCCTTTAATTTTACCTCCATTAGTTTGTTTTACTCTAAGCCCTGAGAGCATCAGCTTCTAGCAACAGCCTTTGGTGAAACTATTAAGGGACTTTGTGTAGCTCTAACAATTATATTCTTACTAGGCATTTAGAAATTCAGGACCGGCATTTAATAAGATGACATTCCGCAAAAGTTGTAAACATTTGTGACAGATGCTTCAGCCTGATTAATTTAAATGGATTTATGGAGAAATGAGATGACTGTTTTAAATGCTCTTTTATAGCAACTCATCCATAGTGTTGCTATGACATCCAGTCTCTACTGCTATCTGTCTATCATCATCATTTAATCTATGTATCTGCTTTAAGTGGGGCCAGACTTCTGAAAAAATAAAAACTCAGCAATGTTGCTTTTTAGAATCTGTGCTGCCTGGGAGGTCACCTGAATTTCCACATGGCTTTGACAGAATGCCTTAACCTAAACGGAGTGGGTCCTTCAGTGAGAACTCAAGGACTTGTGGAAGTCAGGTGTGCGGAGGACAGAGGGGACTTTGGTGCTGTTACAATCACACCACAGGCAAGTAGCTTCTTGCCTCATCAATTCAGTGGTCTGTTTGTAATTCTCATTATCAAATAGCTTCAAAACTGCACTTAATTTGATGCTTTCATTGAGCAAATTTATATTGAGACATTTTTTAATAGTCATTGGCCCTGAAGCTATCTTCTTCAAGTACTAGTTCCCTGTTGGTGAACAAGTTTTCATTGCTGTGAACTTTCTTCACACCTTTTCATAGATTCTGGTGCTGACAAAATTATTCATTTTACATTCCTAAAGGCAAAGAGAGATCTATTAGAGTTGGTAGATAACTGGCTAAACGTGCCCTGCACCTTTCTCCTCAGGTCAAACCCTTCATTCAGGATGCAAAAACAATTGAGTAACTTGAAAGGCATGTATCAGATAGGAACATATAGAGACTTCAAAACTTACCACTACCATTTTTTCACCCACAATTTTTCTTTTGATTGTTGTCTCTTTGCTGAGCCATTTTTGGACCTGAATCATTGAGCCATTCTCTAATGTTATGGTGCTCTATAAGTGCATGAAGAAATCAGTTAGAAGTAGCAATTCACTACCTTCTAACCTACATGAAATCAGATATCCATTTTTTAAATTTCTATTTTGAAATTCTTTTTTTTAAATCCTTTCTTTGGTTGTCATGATTTAGTACTATCAAACTAGAAGAAGTCTCAAGAGATTATTCAGTTAGTGCTCTTTCCTAGGCAAACAATACATAAGCTATTTGTGTTTAATTTTTTCTTTCTACATGCTCTTTCATATCATGACAAAGAGATTAAAAAATGAAATGAAGGCTGGGCCTGGTGGCTCACGCCTGTAATCCCAGCACTTTGGGAGGCCGAGGCAGGCAGATCATGAGGTTAAGAGACCATCCTGGCCAACATGGTGAAACCCCGTCTCTACTAAAAAATACAAAAACTAGCTGGGCATGATGGCACGTGCCTGTAATCCCAGCTACCCAGGAGGCTGAGGCAGGAGAGTTGCTTGAACCCAGGAGATGGAGATTGCAGTGAGCCGAGACTGCGCCACTGCACTCCAGCCTGGCGCCTGGCGACAAAGCAAGAAATTGTCTCACACACACAAAAAAGAAATGAAAACAATTTGAATTTTGTAGCCCTGTTGTTAACCATCAAAATAATTAGCAAAAGGATTAACTTTAGAGATGTGAGAATATTAGCAGAACAAGCCCAGACCGACTTGGTGATAAATCAGATCAGAGTAAACCATGCCTAACCACCTTCCAGCTTTCTCCTGATTGTTGTACGCCAGGAAGAGTTCATTCTGACCTTTACTTTCCGGTTGTCTGCTGTGGTTTCATCAAATTCTTCCCCCCACTTGAAGGAGATCTTAGTGTTCCGGAAAGAACTTTCCGTTCTTATGGTCATCGTTTTCCCATCAACACTAATACTTACTGTCAGCTTCACTAAACCTGCTACATTCCGGGCTGCAAAATCCACTCCTATAAGACAGAGATAGCCTTGGACCTTATTAAGACATTGTTCACAATCAATTTGGAAGTCAGTTTTTGAAGAATGCTTACTTCACTTATATTGAAATTTTAGATAATGTACAGTAACTTATTTTATGTTCTCTGTGATATCTGGGTTGAGCTAGATCCTCCCAATCATAAGGTATATCATGTAATTATATGTGACATTTTAAAAAGCTTCTGAGGCTATTACACTTCATCTAAAATGTAAATTTGTATGGTGCCTTTCGAGAGATCAAATGCTTGTACTTCACTTTGTGGAGTGTTGTAACACCTTGTGGGTGCGGGAGGAGTTTGGCTTAGAGCCTGGCCCTGTGATTCTGGTTGGGAATTTCCCATTGTCATCTTGACTCCTGCAGTTGGTGGGCAGAAGAGCTGACTCCCTCTCTGTCTTGATATCAAACTCCATTTCACATTCAGATTGTGGAACTGATATGCCACCTCACTGCAGAGAAGCAGTGTTAGACATTTGCATCACAAAGAAGAGTGAAATGGTTAAAACACAGGCTCTAACTTGGCCACTTGCTAGCTTGGACATATTATTGACCTCTCCTAACACTCTGATTTCTCCATAGTAAAGTGTGGATAACTGTATACTTACCTTGTGGATGTTTTAAAAGATTAAGTGAATGGATTTAGCATGGTACTGGCACAAAGAAACTGCTCAGCTGTTATTTCTCCTTGAATTATGCCTAACTCAGCTCCCAATCAACACCAATGCTATTCTGGCCATAAGCTCCAAGTTTTTTATGTACCCCCCCACACCAATTTTAATTCAAAACAAGTGAGACTATAAATCCATGAAGAGATAGAAAAACTTGTTTCTTATGACCCTCTGAGAAAGTTAATACTGACTACATAAGAGGAACAAATATTACATTTATAAGCACATTGGCTTATTATGGGGATAAGGCATTGCTATTTCATTGTCTAGAATGAGTAAACATAATTAATAATTGTAAGCATCCATTGAACGTTTTAAGTAAGTTTAAAACAAAGTAAAGATAAAGTCATTGGCTTTATATACAGTTTACTATTGCAAGGGAGGTTTCTCTTAATTAAATATAAAAAAAGATTGCTGTTTTTCTATTAGTAAAGAACAGTTTAGCTATTATACACCCAAGTCATTATAATTAATGTGTAACTGTATGACTTGAATGAGAGATTAAAGGATAGGTAGGGTTCATAATTCTGAGGTATATCTAGAGGTGAAACGTCCAATGAGTAAAAATGTCCTGTTTCTTCCATCCAAATTTGTAATTCTTCAAAATCATATTTGTAAAATATCTCTCACATGTATGAGAACTCTAAAAATTAACCAACCAGAAATTTTGTTTGTTGCTACTGTTGTTTTAAAGTTATAACTTAAAGCAAATATTTAAACAAATTTAATTGATCAATTTAATTGTAGGTAGTATTACTGTCTATAAATTTGAAGCTGGGAAAAATGTTATTAAATGAAATGACCAAGCTGAAGTGTAATTCTGTTGAGAAGTTAGGTTGAAGTATTTTCAAAAAGGATAAATTGATTTAAATACATGGATTATGACTGGGCAGAGGTGTCTGTGGGCCTAGTCTTCCAAAAAGAGACAATTATTACTAGTAATTTTAAAAAGCAAAGGTAGATGCATAAATTATGTTAGGCTATAGAAATATACCCTAGGATCACAAAAGATAATTGTAGGAAAATTCATGGTAAAGTACAAACCCAACCACATCACAAAATGCTTTGCCAATTTCCAAATCTGTAATGGTATTTCTCACCCAGTTCTTTCATGCAATCCTCAAAGTTTTCACTGGAGACCAGCTTCCAGGTTCCCAAGAAGGGCTCAACCATCTTGGAATACTTGCTGAGAAGAGCCACTTATAATTGAAAACCAAAGAAATACAGGTATTATGGTGCTGCCAGTGGCTTAATTTAAAGAGCATCTTTATCACTTGACTCTTGTGAAATCGCCAATGGGCAATAGTAGCAAGACTAAAGATTCTATGCACCAGCATTTGACTCATTTTATTTACCTCCACATTAAGAGACAGAAAATTATCACGTGAATTTAAATTCTGATCAATGATTTTAGCTTCTAGCATAAAGATTTACACCTGAGTCACCTGATAAATATTACTTGTGGAACTGAGACAATTTTCAGTTGACATGAGCTTTTTGACCAATGAATACTGAGTCAACCCTAAAGAAATAACCTGACAAATTGATAAACACCTGGCTGAGATGTTTTCCCACCTAAGACAAGAAATCCTTGCTTGGTCCACCTCAGCTGTTTTTTGTTTGGGTAAGTCACAGTGCTCAAACATCCTCTTCATTAAAATAATATCTTCCCTTCCTTACAGGGCTGATGAGTTGATATTAGTTAATGTAACTGAAATGCCTATAATTGCTTGGAAAGAGGTGAAGAATGTGATTAATATATTATCATTGTTGTTAATCAAAGATAATTGAGGACTGGAAAGAAAGGTGACAATTATCATTGAGTAATGGTATGTGATTTAAGCCCATCAAAGGAAGTGGAGCTAATGCCTAGAAAATTTGTCTTTCAGGCTTACAAAGTAATCTCTACATTAAAAAGTATCATTTTAAATTATAACAAAAAATTTGGGGAAGTTTTATGTAGAAAAAGAAGTTTAGAATCTTCATTCTAAAAGAAAGACAAAAGCAGCAAATAGTTTAAATCTCTGTACAATTACTTCTGAAACCATCTTCTGCAACCCCAGTAATGGAAGTGGACTTTGCAGGTACTGAGTTTAGTAAGAAAAATTAGATTCAGTAGCTGCCGATTTACACTACAGTTTTGAACTCCTGTTAAGTTTTGAAGATCCTGGAAAGTTGGTGTCAGGGACCAGAAGAAGAATATTTATATTTTTACCTACTTTGTACAAAGTATTTCTTTAATTTAGAAAATATTTATTCAAACCATCTCTTTGTGGACAAAATAAACAAGAGGTTGATGTTTTGATATTGTAAAGCAATAACTTAAGTGGAGTAAAGAATTGCTTTTGATGAAAACATATAAAAAGAAACATACAATGTGATATCTTTATAGGTGGAACAATTATTAAATTATCTATAGTGTAAAACAGGGTAAGCAAAAATCCTAGAGTTAATTTCAGGAAACTAAGACCCAAGCTCAAAATAAGTGCCTCAGCAGTTGAACGTGTATTCAGAGGTAATGTTCAAATACGGAGCAAGTTGTTAAGCGTTTGCTTAACTGGTTCTAGATGTGTATGCACTCTCTGCTTTAAAGATAGCAAGCATACATTGCTATGCCTGTTGGCTAGCTGGGTAATGTAGTAAAGATCTCCCATCAGCATAACCTTCCTTGTTGTTTTGATTCTCCTGTCATAGAATGATTTTCCTGTGGTCCATTTTAGAACTCAGCTAAACAATACACTCTGGGGCCTGTGGGGGCCAGGACTACGTGGGGAGGAAGAACATCAGGATAAATAGCTAATGCATGTGGGGCTTAATACCTAGGTGATGGGTTCATAGGTGCAGCAAACTACCATGGCATACATTTACCTATATAACAAACCTGTACATTCTGCATATGTATCCCAGAACTTAAAATAAAAATTCTGGCTTCTGTAAAATTCCCCACCCATAGGAGAGAGCCAAAGGGAGAGTCAATCTTTCTTTTGCCTCTACACACTTTCCTACCTCACGTGATGCTTGCAGCTGCTGCATCCATTGTGTTACCTCCACAAAGACAGAGCCAGAACTGAGGATGGCAGAGCAGAAATGTTGAAGGAACTAAAGGCCACTTTATTTCAAAAATTTATATTATGTTGGTTAATAAATTCCATTCTTAAACAACTTTGTTTCTGAGCTTTTGTAACTTGCAGAACAAGTCTTCGTAATTAATATGCCTTTGTAAATAGCTTCACCAAATGATGAATTGGGACCTTTACAACAACCAGTTGCATGGATCACATAGAGTTGGCCTTGTGACAGCATATACCCATCTTCCTGAACCAACTCAAACATCTCTTTCCCTGTGAGACTGGTTCAGAGCAGGTAATCCCCATGGTGTGAAAATAGAATTATATGCTTAACAGATGTATATTAGACAACTTATTTCATAGTACTGCAAATAGCTATTTCCCAGCTGTCTCGTGAGCTATTCTAGGGGAATATCAAAAAAAGAAAATATCTCCCACTCACTTCTGTATCCTTAAGACAGTATCTGGCATATCGTAAGTGTTCAATAAATGTTTTATGGATGAGTGACAAAATAAAGTATATGTTTTTGGCTGGGAACAGTGACTCAAGCCTGTAATCCCAGCACTTTGGGAGGCCGAGGCGGGTGGATCACCAGGTCAAGATATCGAGATCATCCTGGCCAACATGCTGAAAACCGGTCTCTACTAAAAATACAAAAATTAGCTGGGTGTGGGAGCGTGCGCCTGTAGTCCTAGCTACTCAGGAGACTGAGGCAGGGTAATTGCTTGAACCTGGGAGGCGGAGGTTGCAGTGAGCCAAGATCATGCCACTGCACTCCAGACTGGTGCTTGGCGATGGAGCAAGACTCTGTCTCAAAAAAAGAAAGTATATTTTTTAACTGGCAATTCTCCTCATTAGTGTTCTTTATCTCTCTAATAGTGACTAAAGACAGGGTTTTAGTACATTATCCTCTCCTGACCTGAACCTATGACAGGCCTTTTATTCTGGTCATTATCAGATGGTGGAGGGATGCTGAGACTCTCTTTATCTTTTTCAGTGTTTCATTATTACATAGTATAAGTCTCCCTTCTCAACTAAGAAAGTTCTCTTATTTCTGTTGCTACCACCACTAGCCTTTAGTACTTTGGTTTGATTATAAAAGAAAAAAAGTAAGCACCATTTCCTCAAGTAGAAAAAAAATTTTAAGTTAGATTGTTCCTAATTTTAATCCTAGTAAAGGAACTAGAATACTGTAATTTGTTATTGAATAGATACATGTCTTGATTCTATGACAGTTTCAAGGCTTATTTCTCCAAGATGTTATTTTTGTATGCTCCTTCAATAACTCATTTTCTATATTGACTTTGTTGTGACATTCTAAGACATCAAGTAGTTTTTAATAATTTTTAAATTTGAGATGCTACGGTCGCCACTGATGATGGATACTGGTAAAGTTAAACATATACTGGAAGCTACACAAGTATTCAGAAATATGCCTGATAATTTATTGCTGCACATATAGTACTTTAGCTGGATTTGATGAAACATCTTAAGATTTTTATTTCCACATGCAGTGACACCTCTAAGTATCACATTCCTTACTGTGTTCATCATTCAGTTTCAGTCATCTATTTGTATAGATGCAGTAATATTCTTAATAACTTTTCAAAGTGTACATTTAATCTAGGAATCTGAAAAGTAATTCAGTATTTAAAATTTTTCTTTTTAAGGTGATATTATATTACCCAATATGTAAAACATTTATTTTGAAATTCACTTTGGTTAATAAATAGTCTGAATGTAATATTCAATCATTGAAATAGTCCTTGATTTGCTAGCATTTTCTACACTGGAGAAAGTAATGTTATAATTTCAAAAGACTATTTACTTAACATAAATGATATATTTTAAGAACATCACTTTTTCCAATAATTTTTAATATATGGGGCTTTGGGAAAAATTTTACATTGTTTTTACTCCTGCATCACTTCGCTTAAAACAAAAATCTTACTTAAAACAATCATACCAAATAAATTCTGAGCAAATAAACTTTTTAACATGATAACTTCCAGTTTATTTTTACTACTTACAAAATAAGTCCATCTCGTAACTATTATTTACTGCTTAGTAAGTATACATAAAAACAGCAATTTCTTTCTCTTTTTTTGGTGAAGGTTATTTATTTGAAGTGCTCATTATTTAGGAGCATATGGAAGCAGCTGACCACATTGAAAATTCACCTGTAGTGGGACTGTTCTTTTTTATTATTATTATTAATTTACTTTAAGTTCTGGGATACATGTGCAGAATGTGAAAGTTTGTTACGTAGGTATACCTGTGCCATGGTGGTTTTCTGCACCTGTCAAACCATCATCTAGGTTTTAAGCCCTGTGTGCATTAGGTATTTGTTCTGATGCTCTCCCTCCCCTTGCCCCCACTCCTGACAGGCCCCAGTGTTTGATGTTCCCCTCCCTATGTCCATGTGTGCTCATTGTTCAACTCCCCCTTATGAGTAAGAACGTGTGGGGTTTGGTGTTCTGTTCCTGTGTTAGTTTGCTGAGTATGATAGCTTGCAGCTTCATCCATGTCCCTGCAAAGGACATTAACTCATTCTTTTTTATGGCTGCATAGTATTCCATATCTATCTTCATAGTCAGCTTTAGGAATAAACTTAAGGTCTTCTCAGGTTCTTTCTGAGCCTGTGACTTCCTTACATAGGCATACTGACTTTTTAATTTTCCTTATGTATGTGGTTGCTTTGAATGTCCTAATCTTTAATGTCTGGATTCTAAAAGGAAAAAAGAAAAAATATGATGTGGAAAGTAGAGGAGGAGCTGACTTTTTAAATACACTGAAAGCTGCTCCAGCCCAAGAAGAAATGACTTACCACAATAAGGGGTGTTTTGTGTGTGTGTGTGTGTGTGTGTGTGTGTGTGCGCGCGCGCGCATGTGTGTGCATGCAACAATGACTGCTGGCCAATGTGTCTGCAGTTCTGTGATCAGAAGCAGCAATCATTAATCAAAACACAGATCCATAACATTTGGAAAACATGGTTCTTATTGTCCATCCTAGTTCCTGCAAGATGACTGCAAGCTGCTCCAGAAACGTGCACAGCTGCCTTTGTGGGCATTGTAGGTGGGTATGAGTATCTGCAACTGGTTTAAGAGCTGAAATCAACCAAAATTAACTGCAACTTATCATCCAAGACTTCCCTGAAT